TGTGAAATAACAACTCTGCACTGTGAGAGTAGATGAGATTAGTGGATAAAGAGAAATGTTTGTTCAGCAATGTTGTTTGAATTTATCTCCCAAAGGCAGATACCAACAGTGGGACAATCACAATATTTCTAATGATGCACAGCACCATATATTCAGTTCTCGTTGATTTAATGTGTACTTTTGCCTGATGCTTTTCATTTTTTGCATGTTATAAAGAAACTTGGCTCTATATTGTCTTTTAAAATGCTAACTGGTCATTTCCTCATCCTAGAATACTCTGACATCCATGCTGATTTACTAACTTGGTTTCATTGACCTACCACTTTACAGATAATGTTTGTTCTTATCCAATATTCTGTTTTTAACAATTACATTCACTGTAGTTTAGAAGATTTTAATTCCAGTTGGGTTTAGAATTTGTTCACAAAACTTTTTTAACTAATAAAAGGTGATTTGATTGGAGGTTGTTTGTATCTAATCCTTTGGTCTCTGATCATAAGAACATAGGAACTTCCTTGCTAGAACAAACCAAGATCCACTGCACCATTCTAAATTATTTTTACAGCAATTAATCAACCAAGGCATCATCTGATTTGTTTCAAATCAGAAAGCTACTAATAATATCTAAGATAGTTCTAGAAGCAACTGGCAATTATAATATATGAATTCAATGGGAATCTGTAGAGCAGGCCTGTCAAACTGGTGGCCGACAGGCCAGATGCATCATGTGCAGGCCAGCCCCACCCTGGTTCTGCAAAGGCAAAAAACATCATGATACGTCATGTGATATAATCAAGTCTGACACCTGTGCTATAGAGGTTCTCTGTCATCCAGGCATGGTTGGCCCAAAGGTGCTTTTTTAAGAAGCAACTGGACTTTCTTTGTTTTTCCTTGAAGACGTTTTGTTTTTCATCCTAGAAGCTGCTTCAATTCTTCAATCAGAGTTAAAGAAGCTTCTTGGATGAGAAGCAAAACACTTTTTTTCAAGGAAAAAAACCCAAAAGAAGTCCAGTTGCCTCTTGAAAAAGCATCTTTGGATTGGAACAGTTCAAAGGAAGATTACTGCAAATTTAACACAAGCTTCTAAAGTGAAAATCTAGAAGGAAAACAAAAAACATCAGTATGCTATGTGCAGTGTCTTCTCTGCTCTGTCCCTTAAGAGCATATCTGCATTTACCAGTTAGTGCAGATTCCAACTTTCTACTTTGCTCATCACCAGTATTGGTCACTCACTGCTTTCTGGGACTTCCATGACTATTGCAAGTGTATCTCACAATGAAGTTTTCCAGCTTTCATTCCAAACTGCTGTTTTCTGATCAAGCCATATTAAGCATTGCAGTGCTTCAGTCCATTGCTCCATTCTAGTTCTAGTCCATCCTAATGGTAGCAGTATTAATGTTTTACTTACTTTTTTTTACAAGTTGTTTATCTTCTCTGATTTTTGTATCTTTATTCTTCTGAGGTTTCTGTTTAAATAATCCATCTATTTTGTGCATTAAAAAACAATAGTAAAAGAAGAAAGAAACAGAACGAACTGAGTTGATATATTAATTTAACAAGTCTCATGTTAAGGGCTCTGGTATTATTCAATGAGATCATGTGAGCTGTTGGCTCAGATGTTTAATTTACACAAATTCCATCTTCAGGTATAACATTTTGCATCTCAAAGATGCACAGATGTTGAAAATGAGCTGTCAGAATAAATTCTAATCAATACATCTACTTAATTAACCTATTTGCTAAAGTAATCATTTAGGCAAGCAATATACAGCAAGAAAGACCAGCTTTCTCCAATAACAGATTTATTTTCATTATTCCAGTAGCTGTCATGTGGTAAAATAACAATGAAAGGGTGATTTTTTAAAATTATGGTTATATCTTAGAGGAGAGATATAGCTTTACATATAGCATGCTATTATTCAAATGAATATGGTTAATATATTGCTTTAGATTTGTTGCAACTCTCACTATTCAGAATGTAGTAAAATATGGTGAAGTCATTAATAATTATTATAATAAAATGAGTTTTAGAAAGCATTAGAAAATATAATATAATATTGCTTGCAGATTTTCAAATAACTTGGTTAAAGGACGAATGTCCTTGAATCAGAGGTCGCCAACCTTTTGGACCTCAGGGACCACCAAACTCATAATTTTAAATCCCAGGGACCACTGACTGGTTCTGTGGGCATGGCCTAATTTGTGGGTGTAGCTTGGTGGTCATGTGACTGACTAGGCATGGTTTGCATGTAAATATTATAAATATTTATATAAATATTGATTTTTTTATTTAAAAAAGAGCAACTTTTACCCAAAATCAGGCAAAGCAGGCAGGCAGATTGAGTTGCTCACAGAATCACAGATTCATTCAGAGATCTATCTATCTGCCATCATCTAGCTTAGTTTGTCACATAAAATTTGCTTGCAAGCAAACTCACAAAATTAACTCACAACACACCATGTATGTAAATATTGATTTTTTTTATTTAAAAAGAGCAACTTTTACCCAAAATCAGGCAAAGCAGGCAGGCAGATTGAGTTGCTCAGAATCATTCAGTGATCTATCTATCCGCCATCGGCTACCTGAGTCTGTCACATAAAATTTGCTTGTCGTGAGTCTGCACTGAATAATAGAACCTTCAATCCTAAGGGAGGTTCAGCTGTGCTTAAAAGCAGAGCTGAAGATTTAAAGACTAACTAGAAAGCAAGAAATCCAACCATTACCCGCTTCCTAGCTAATCTAAATCTCCCGACACAGCAGAACAGCTGATGGTCAGAGAAAGGAAAAATAGCAATTTAGTAGGTAAGTTTGCTGGGTAAGGAATGAGTGGGCAGGAAGGGTTCCCATGCGCCATGTGGGCGGTGCAGCCTTGTGTTTCTGCGCAGCCTGGATTAATTGCTTTAGGGGGATGCTCTGGGGCTGAGATTTCCCTGTGGCCCACCAAAAAAATTTTGCGGCCCACCAGTAGGCCATGGCCCACCGATTGGCGACTGCTGCTTTAAATAGCAATAACACTTAGACTTATACACTGCTTTATAGTGCTTTAAAGCCCCCTCTAAGTGGTTTATAGAGTCAGTATATTGCCCCCAACAATTTGGATCCTATTTTACCCACCTCAGAAGGATGGAAGACTGAATCAACCTTGAGCCTGGTGAGATTCGATCTGCCAAATTGCAGGCAGCTGGCTGCAGAGAAGTAGCTTGCAGTACTGCACTCTAACCACTGTGCCACCAACTTAATGCAGTATTTTCTGGGAAATAGATAAAGATTTAATTGTGACCAATACCTTTATTGGGATGTTTTCTTATTATTGCCAAAATTTTGTAAAATTTGTATTTACAAATTAATAACAACAAAAAAATTACAAACCAAGCTAGAAGTTGGATTGTTCCATCCCATTGGAACATGGTTGAGTCTGGAGCTGAAGCAAACTCAGACCTGTTTAGTATTTGGGTTAAAATCTTCCTACGAATTCCAAAACTGTAGATTAGACTGGAAAATAAAAAGAAAAAAAAAACATCTTGGCCTAAGGCAGTAACAATCATTTTTTGTACTGCAGCCAAGTCATCATGATTGTCTAGAGATGGGCAGGAAGTTCTGTGCAACAGTGATCTGGAGACATCTGTAACTAAACAAAGGCCTTGGCTTTTGGTCAGTATGAAAACAAAACTGGGTTGTTTTATTTCAGAGTTTGTGGAGGCCAAGAATATTAGTAATGGAGAAAATCAGGAAAGATGACAAGATGAGGAAAGGATAGTCCCATGGGAGATCTCATTCTGGGAACATGGTTACTTCCTGTTGAGATCACCACTAGAAGGAACAGTTCCATGGAATAGATAGTTGAGGGGGGAAATGAAAGTTTTGGAAAGGCCAGAGCTTGTGGGGATGCCATTTTGGGACATTGGCAGTGGCTGAGAGAAGTAAAGGCTCTGGAAAGATCAGGAACCAGAGCCAACGTCAGGGAATATCCTTTCAAAAAATCCACTAATGCTTTTATCAAGCTGAAAGTGTATGTCCCGGAGAAGAAAATCTCCTAGAATATGGGAGTCCTACCTCTGCTTTTAAAAAATAATTAAATAATTTAAAAGACAAAATAAATAATTGGCTCAGCTTTGTTGCAAGTAAAATGCCAAAAGAAATGCTCATTGGCTACTGGAAGCAGCAGATTTGAGAAATGGGGCTAGTAGTACTGACGAATGACTCTGTAGGTCTTGAGAGTCTACAGTTCTCATTACATGCTTCTAAAGAGCTCATGGGTCTGTTTTTGTTAATCTTCTTTGCTTATGAAGACTCCCGTTCTTATTTAGTTCTCTGCAGAGAAAAGAAGAGCTTCCTCATAAGGATTCTTTTCCTCAGAAAAGAAGAGCTTCTGTGTTTTTATGTAAAATTAAGGGGATGGCACTTACAAGTCAATGAATAATTATTACCATATCCAGGATGACCACAAGAAAACCATACAGCTCTCATCAAAATCATTCTTCTTTTAAAGCAAACTGTTAGGGATACACCCTAGCAAGATCTGCAGGGCAGGCAGGCAGGCAGGCAAAATATGTGAGATAAGTGTTGTGTAGCTTACAC